CGAGCCCCCACGGGCTCGCGAGGAGCCACACAGAGTGGGCTGGGGGCTGCCTCTGGGGCGAGGAACTGCACTGGTGGCTCTGCACAGAGAGGAGGGTGTCAGGCTGTGCTGGGCCCGGCCTCCCGCCCCAGGCTGGTTGAGGCACTCACCGGCCAGGCTGACATTGAAGGTGACGGCCTCATCACGGGTCTCACACACATACTCCCCGGCGTCGTCAGGCTGGGCGTGGGTCAGGGTCAGAGTGCGGACGGATCCCTCGGCGCCCAGCTGCAGGGCATCTGACGCCTCCACCTCCAGCCCATCTTTGTACCAGCGCACCTGGGACCCAGCTGGAGCCACCTCACAGCGCAGCTCCACACGCCCTGGGGCCCCAAACTGCAGATCCAGGGAGCGGGCCACTGGGTGCACAATCCTCTCTGGCGGGGCTGGTGGGCGGGCAGAGAGAGGGGCGCTCTGGCTCAACCAGCAGGCCTCTCACTCCCAGCCTCACCCCCAGATTCCCAGCCCTTTCCCCGTGCAGTGCAGCTCTTGGGAAGGGCAGCAGCTAAATCCACGGGACCAGGCAGTGCTCGGTGCACTGCAGTCCTTGGTTACTCCAGGCACGCCCCAGGTGTACAGCTGTTTGCTCACTTACACATGAGGCCCCGAGGCCTCTTTATTTATTTATATTATTATTTTTTTAGAGGTTTTTGTTATAGGGCGCGTGTGCTCACCAGACAGACAGACAGACAGAGAGACAGAAAGCGAGAAATCACCTCCCAGGGGGAATGACCACGCCGCAATCCCTTCTCCATTCTCCTCTCGGGATCTTGGGCACGCATGCACACGCACCCGGCATGAGTTTTAAGCCACCGGGTCCGGGACGTGAACCACGGCCAACCACATGGGAGTCCAGCGACATAGCCATTACGCTAACTGCTGGTCTCATGAGGCCTCTTTAGAGGAAAGTGACTTGCCCAGGGTCACACAAACAGAAAGAGGTGCACTCAGATCTCAGACGCACACCTAGATCTACCTAACCCCAAGCAGGGCCCTCTATGCCAGCCCCCTACTGCCCCGTTTCCTGCTTTGCCTTTGACACACTGATCACCTCCTGGCCAACTATCTATTTCCTGACCTCTTGTCTGTCCACCCTCAGTAGAGTGTGAACTCCATGAGACAGGTCTTGTCTAAGTGCTCACTACTGCATTCCCAGCTTCTAGAAGTGCGCCGAGCACATGAGAGCTGCTCAGAAAGCACCTGTTGAATGAAAGAATGGAACAGTCCTAACAGCTGGGCTCCCTCCCACCAGGCCTCTGGTCACTGTCCTGACCTGACTTGGGCAAGTACGCCAGGGGGCAAGCAAGACCCTGATGGCAGAGAATGAGGAGGCTGGGGGAGCAGGAAGAGGCCGTGGGAGGCAAGCAGGGGGCCCCTCAGATGCAGGAAGTAGAGATAGTTGGGTGTCTGTCTCTCAGCCCATTGTCTCTCTACCTCCCAGGGATGCCCTGGAGACTGCCCACCTGTGACAGTGACAGTGAAGAAGGCCGAGTCATCTCCAGCGTCACATACGAACTCGCCTCCGTCCTCAGGCTGGGCAGCGGGTAGCACCAGGCGGCGACGGGGCCCATCGCTCTCCAGCACCAGGGCTTCGCTCTCCTCCACCTCCAGCCCATCCTTGTACCAGCGCACGGCGGCGTCCTCCCGGGACAGCTCACACAGCAGCACCACACACTCCAAGCTCACGGCGACCAGGGTCACCTCATCCCGGGGGTATATGATCCGTACCGGGGGCTCTGCAGAGTGGGGCAACCACAGGCCGTCACTGTCAGCCTCTCGGGAGCCATTTGGCAGCACGAAGTCCTGTCGCCCATGTGACAGTAAGAGTAATAAGTATAATAGTAATAGCAATAGATAATAGGTCCATAATATGTGCTCTGAACTCCCTACAGCCAGAGGTGTTCCAGAGTTCAGGACTCCAGAAATGATGCATTTAGTATATATCACATAGTTCCCTAAGCTCCTACAGGGCACCCCTCCCCAATAATCGGTCACATTAACGTCTCTGTGGTGTAACATATATTACATGCACCCTAAGCAGGCTGTATTACAAGACATTCTCACATCTCAGATACACGTATCCACCCTGTGTAAGATAATTACAGAGTAATGACAGCTTCACAGCCGTGAAGTTCAGGTTCTCCTGGAATGACTCTCAATGCTAAACTTTTAAGAAGGCTTTTGATTTTGAGTTTCTTGGATTTTGGGTCTGTGGGTGAGGGATGGTGGATCTGTAACAACAAACACTTACATACTGCACCCTTAGGTCCCAGGAATGGTCCTAAATGCTTTATATATTTAGCCCTTACTGAAATTGTAGAAGGTTGGTATTGTCTGATCCCCATTTTCCAGATGAGGAAACAGGAATACAGAATGTTTAAGCAACTTCCTTAAGGTTACAGCTGGTTACATCTGCTCCAGGGCAGGAGGCGGGGGAAATGCCACCTGTTGGAGGGAGGCTGAGGCTCTGCAGACAGTGGAAAGGATGCCAAGCTAAGGAATCACCTGCGAGAACTCAGTAAAGGTTTTTGCATCTTCGCGTGAAGGATGCCAACACCGAAAAGTTCCCCAGGGATGCTACATGTTGGCTCTGGGAGCTTGTCTCCAAGCTCTGGGCACTCCTCCAGAGAAAGAGAAGTCATGACAATATAGGAGATGGCCAGTGCATGGAGCCCAAGTCTGCCCACACCCCTCCTCTCCCAGTGGTCTCCCAGAATCTTCCTCTTCAGCCTTTGGTGCGCCTTTATGTTTAGCCCCCTTGTGGCTAGGCTGGGGAACTGCTAGGCTCTGGTGTTGGCTTTTGAAGGGGCAAGCCTAGGCAGAGGTGCTCCCCTCTCTGCCCCTGAGGGGGTCTCCTGTCTTGAAGCCACACAACCTCCCTCCCTCCTGGCCCCCAGAAAAAAAAAAATGGACTTGCTCTAAGAGTCTAGTCTTCAGCTGGTTCTCTGGTGCCAAGGCCAGAATAGTGTGGCTGCCTGACGGGTGGGGGAAGTAAGAGGGTAGTAGGGTGATGGCAGGGTGCAGTGATGGGGCCAGGCGTGTGCACAGACCTGGGACCTCAGCTTGGTGTCAGACTTGACTGACTCTGGCTAGAGCCACGATAGTGTTTGTGTGAACTTCCCCGTGAAGTAGCTGGTGTTTTGTGGGAGCCCAAGTGTGGGCTGGAATTTGTGCAGCTGTGGCCATTATGTCTGGCCAGGGCTGGAGACAGGAAAGGGTGAGGGAGACTCACTAGAGGGCAGAATATGTGCACAAGGCCTCTCTGGCCATGCGGGCTTGTGAACCAGGGCACACTATCTGGGGTACAGGGAGTGGGGAGCCTCTGAGCAGCTGGACCCAGGCTGGCCATTACTCCTAGGGCAGGACAGGGGAGAGGGTGACAGGACAGTAGCAGCATCTCTAGTGCAGCCGTTGGGGTTCTTCGGTGCCACCCAGAGCTGCCTAGGCACTAGGACCCTGGACCTCCCCTCCCCCCCTCGCCACACACACACACACACACACACACACACACACACATGCAGTGATACTGGTACTTTGAGCTGTGGCCCCGCAGTGTCTGCCAGTGATCCTCTGTCACCTCCACGGTCGTCCTGCACCTTGAATATTCTTCCCCACCCCACCCCCACTTAGCTCAGCTCCTGCTCCAGTACCAGCTTTGAGGGCACTTCTGCCACCCAGAGAAGACAGCAGCCCCTGGCCACAGACTCCCTCCGGTGGCTCGCAGCAACTCAATCTAATACTACTGTTTCTAGTTTTCCTATCAGGCTGTGAGCTGGGGTGGAAGTGACCGCGTCTGTCTGTGTGCTGCTGAATACCCAGAGCCCCGCCCAGGGCCAGCTGGGGTGTGCAATGGCGACCTTCTCCGAGGCCCTCCCTGCCTGTCCTGCTCTGCTCTCTGGAGCCCTGTCTTCACAGGACTTATCACGAGGGGGCGCTGTACGTTTATTTCATGTTTATTCGTTTAACACAGGGGTCGCAAACTCAGATGCCCACAGGGGCCAGGGAGGTTAGGCCACTTGCTGAAGAGGTCTGGGGGAGAGGCAAAAAGGAATGGAAGGGAGCAGTGTCAGAGGAATGCGGGCCCCAGATATGGGGCAGCTGCTACTCAGCACCAGCGGTTCGTCGCCATGGGGGGAAGCGGGACCAGAGCCGCCGGGTCTTCGGCTTTTTCAAGAGGACGCATAACTCCGGATTGTTATCTGAACTGTCCTGACTTTGATAAGACTCTGCGGGTCAAAAAAACACATCTGTGGGCTGTAGGAGACCCCAGGGACTGCCCGTTTGCGACCCCTGGTTAACAGCTGGATCCTGCTAGCCGGGCAGCTCTGTGAGAACAGGGGCCTGGGTCTGCATTACTCACCTGTTACTCCAGCACCTGGCCCAGAGACGAGGCTCAGGAAACGAGCGGGTGGAACACAGCTAGTCCTGGCCTTGGGTGCTAGGAGGAGCCTGCTCACTAAAATAGGGGCCCGGGCTCTCCCTGGAGGGGCTCTTGGTACATGCACCCACAACCCGCGTCTCCTTCCCAGTGTGCTAGCCATGGGTGCGTGGATGGCTCTCCCGGGCTCAGGACTGTCCTCTGGCTCCCCTGCAGGGCTGGAGTGGGCCCACACCTGTGACAGTGACAGTGAAGGAGGCCGACTCGTCATCAATTTCACACAAGTACTCGCCGGAGTCCTCAAGCTGGACTGCGGGCAGCACCAGGCGGCGGACGGTATCTTCCTTCTGCAGGAGAAGCGCCGCGCTCTCCACCACCTCCTCCCCGTCTTTGGTCCAGCGCACCTCGGCCCAGGGCCTGCACAGCTCGCAGGTCAGCACCACGCGCTCCAGGCGAACGGCTGCCACATACACCTTGCCGCTGGGGTAAACGATCCAGGAGGAGACATCTGGGAAACAGGGACAGTGGCTGCTGGGTGTGAGGAGCTGGGGCCAGTGGCCCCGGCCACCCTGTCTGACCCAGACCTGTTCCCTGCTGCTGGAAAGTATGCTGTGTGCTGAAGAAGAGGGGTCTCCCTCGGACTGTCTCACAGCAGCTTAGACAGTCACTCACAGAGACACAGTCTCCTGAGACCACCACATCCAGGGAAACACAACCATGGTCACCAAAGCCGGGACCCTGGTGTCAGCCTCAGGTGCTGAAGTACTGCCTGCCGTCTGGGTTGAAACAGCGTGAAGTGTGGAACTTAGGGAGGAGTGTTGGCGCCCTAGATGGAGCTGAGGTCGCCTGCAGGCATCTGAGGATTTCTGACCCTTCTAATACCTGGGGCCACCTGCCCTTGACCCTGCCCTGCTGCAGACTTGCCACCCTCTATGATTCCCCCTTGCAGGGAATTGAGAAGGATGGAGAAGGCAGGGCGTCTCTGACCACGTGCTTGGGAGAGCGTCTCTGACCACGTGCTTGGGAGAGCGTCTCCTGAGTGTGACTAGACCCGGGGTCGAGGAGGAAGGAGGAGGTCCAGTGGGCCGGGGGGAGAGGGTAGGGAAGCAGGAGCAGGGCTGAGTGACCCAGGAGAGTGTGGCAGCTGCTCTGGCGGGGGGCTCCAAGGGGCCTGCGCCTCAGCCCACCTGTGATGGTGAGGGTGAAGTAGGCACGCTCCTCTCCAGCAACACACTGAAACTCGCCCCCGTCATGGGGCTGGGCGGCAGGCAGCACCAGCCGGCGATGGGGCCCTTCGTTCTCCAGCACCATGAACTCGTTGTCCTCCACTTCCTGCCCGTCCTTGTACCAGCGCACGGGGGCGTCCTCTCGGTCCACCTCACAGGTCAGCACGACACACTCGGAGGTGATGGCATGTACGAACACGTGCTCCTGGGGGTCCACGATGTGCACTGGGGGGTCTGGGTGGGAGGCAGAAAGGGGGTCACATAAGTACCCCACACATGGTATATCTGAGTCCAAACTGGCCATAGGCCAAGAGACATGGTCTCCCCTGTCTCGCTGCAGGGGCTGAGGCAGGGCTGTGGAGGCCATGCTGTGTAAGGGCCTCAGGGGCAATGACAATGAGATACAGTGAGACAGGACAGGCTCTGTGTGTCCCCAGGAGACCATGAGTGGCTGGTGAGACATGGAGGAAAGGCGGTGTGGCACCGGGACAGCCACTTGCCTGGGCTGCAGGGAAGTCACTATCACAGTCCCCATCAGGGTTGTGCCTGCTCCTGCTTTCACACAGAGACCCCGGGATGGGCAGGAAGTGCAGAATGACCTAAACATGGCAACAGGGCACAGCTGCTCTCTAAGGGCAGTGGGTCCTATTACCAGGTGCATTCAGGCAGGGGACCGCCTAGCAGTGCCACCAAAAAGAGGACTTCCTCTTCAAGGTAGAGGAATCCGTTCGGTAGTTCCCAAGCTATCCTCCCAGAGTCAGCCTGTGTTAAGAGAGGAGCCTCAGGCTTCACCCCAGATATCCTGGCTCCGGATAGTCCAGGGGCCCCAGGCATGTGCATTTATAAGCTTCTGGGGCTCCCAAAGGAGTCAGACCACGGCCCGCCTTGTGAGAACCACTGGATCACTGCAGGTAACAGTTCTGTCCCACTCGGACTGGCTGGACACGAGGAGGGGCAGAGTCTCGGTGCAAATCTGAGCTGCAGTGTTTGCTGGCCATGCGGTGAGTCACATAACCTCTCTGAGCCTCAGTCTGTGAACTGCAGGCAGGCAGCCTCTTGGCTAGTTGTAAAGATCGAACATAATAGGGTATATCTGAAGTACCTAGCATAGTCCTTGGCTTAGAGCTGATGCCCAGTCATTGTCAGCCTCCAACTCTCCTTCCCTCCATTATACTTGGTTCCCTACCCGACCCAGCAGAGGGTGTCCTATAGGCGCATGTGTGCTAGAGGGTGCTGGTGCATGAGAGTTAATCGCAAGCCCACAGTGATCTGAGACAGGTCCTCTGCCAGCTAGGCCCTGTCAGGCACCCCCGCTCCCTCTGCCAAGCAAGTAGACTGGGGGGCGGGGGGAGGGCCTCTGCAGCTCCCAGAATCAGCCTCAGCTAGAGAAGCCCAGGCCAACACAGCTCCTGACCTCGGACAGTGACACTGAAGAAGGCCGAGACCCCTTCCGTCCTGCACTCAAACTCGCCACTGTCTTGGACTTGAGCTTCGGGCAGGATCAGGCGGTGTTTGCGCCCATCCGTCTTCACCACCAGTGACTCGCTCTCCTCCACCTGCTGGCCATCCTTGTACCAGGTCGCCGGGAAGTCTACCCGCGAGAGCTCACAGATCAGCAGCACCCGCTCTGAGGTCGTGAAAGTCAATGACACCTTGTCCTGGGGGCTCAGGATGTGCACAGGGCTCTCTGTGTGGGAAGAAACATGAATAAGCACCCCTTTCTTCAATGAGCGTGCTCAGTGGTGGGTGCATCAGGGAAGGTAGCAGCTGTCAACGTATCCGATGGGCTTTTGTTAGGCTTGGGCTTACACACCAACTCTTACTCTATTTTTTATGTTTTAGGTTTTTTTGAGACTAGCACGTTCATCACCAATAAATTTATCTATTTATCCCATGGGTGCATGCACAAGAAAGAAAGCATGCGCCCCCTACAGTCTTGACACCTTGACCTACCCCGACTTCAGCCAGCCCTGGGCTGTGGGTACATGCGTGACTGGAGTACTCAGGGAGGTCTGCAGCCTTGAATCAATGACCATCCCACGTGAGACCGCCTCACAGAGCATTGCATTTTACCACTGTGCCACCATCTGGCCCCTACGAATTTCTAAGCACATTAAAATCACTACTTTTAAGAATTGTTGTAGGGGCCAGCAGGTGGCATGGTAGTTTAGGGTGGTAAGATCTCACATGGAGGACTGCATGGTTTGATTTCCAGACCCAGTGGCTTGAAAACTACATCAGGCACATGTGCATGCATGCCCCAAATCCCGAAAGAAGGTAGAAATGGAGGATTGTGGGCGTGACCACCCCTTACGGAGGGTGCTTTCTCGTTCTTCCTGTCTGTCTGTCTTTGGCAGTGAGTACACATGACCTCTGGCAAATTAAAAACAAAACAAAACCCCTAAAAGTAAAAAGTTGGATTTCTTAATACAAAGAAAAACAATCCCAGGGAGCCTTCTACAAATGCAGATTCTGAGACCCCTCTGCAGGAGCCAGGAAATCCGCACTATGAATCAGTCCCTCTGGGTGCCTCTGATGCGGGGCTCTTGAGTTCCGTTTTAAAAGCTGCTCTGGTTGCTGGTTTTTTCTCACTTTGCTCTCTGCCGGCGAGGCTGGCTGTGCACCTCCGCCAGTGTCCGTGCCTGGGTGCCGGGGTACCAAGGAGTCCTTGATTCCTTGGTTGGTCTTATGAACTCTGGCAATGGTGAAACAGCAAACGCTAGCATGTTCCTTGACCTTGTAACCCTCCTCCCGGCAAGTGTTCTCTTCAGGGATGCCTTATTCCGTCTTCCCAGTTAACAGTTAGCCTCCTGTGATTCTGGAGCTGGACTGCCTGGGTTCATCACATAGCCCCAGTGCTCACTAGCTTTGTGACTTTGGAAAATCATTTAACTTCTCTGTGCAGTTTCCCTATCTATAATGTAGGGATGAAAAACTTACCTTAGGGCTGTTGAGAGGCCTGTGTCTTTTATTTATTTTTTTTTTTAGCTACCAGAGGGCTCGTGTCCTTGACAGAGAGGAGAGGAAGAAAGCCCTGGCAATGGGGTGTGGCCATGCTGCAATCCCTTCTTCATTTCTCTGTCCTGTCAGGAGTTTTGGCATGCAAGCAAAACTTCCTGGCATGTTTTTCAAGCCGCTTAGGGCTAGAATTTGAACCACAGTCAGCTCTGTGGGATCTGGCTCCCTTAACCACTAGGCTATGGGACCAGATCGGATCATGTATTTAATACGTATAAAATGATTAGGAGTATGCCTGGAACATAGGAAGTTGCTATGACAGTGCCAGTGATGACACACAGGGCAAGAGGCCGTCCTGTGTCTCTCAAATGTGATGACAGATGTGACAACTCTATAACCCACAAAGCACTCCAAAGAACTGGGATATGATGCTGACGAAGATGATCGGGGTGCCCTGTGTGCAGCACGTGTGTTGAAACTGGCCTTCTGGACCTCCAACGCCGCAATTTGAGCCCACCGCCGATGCTCCTTACTATCCTGGCCCGGATGTGAGAAACGCGGACAGCATCTGCCTGGTCTTCTGTGTCTAGGCCTACCTGCTCACTGGGTCCTCACTGCATGCACCTACCTTGGATGGTGAGGGCAGCTGAGTCCTGCACGCCGGGGCAGCTGAAGCCCACCAGGGCCCCACTGTCCTGGTGCTTGACGGCTTGCAGAATAAGCCTGTGCTGCAAGCCCTTCTGTTCCACACGGTACCGCAGGGTCCCGGGCTCCACCTGGCCCTCCGGCTCACTACTCTTGAGCTCTTCTCCATTAAGGAACCAGGTGCCCTGGATGATGGTGGAGAGATCCAAAGAGAAGACAGCATCTTCCCCGTCGTACACCTGCACATCCTCCAGACCAGCTACCAGGCGAGCTGTGGGCACTGAGGTGGGGGTGGGTGCAGCTGTCAGCACCGGAAGGGGTAGGAGAGGGCAGAGGCTGCCAGATGGGAGGTGTGCAAGAGGACAGGGCCGAGGGCCAGGGCAGGAGGGGAGGTGATATGAGGGCTCGACTTGCGGTGTGGCCACTGAGGGGCTGGACGGACTCACCGAGGTGAGCAGAGCCGTGGAACACAACGTGGGGGCTGCGGCCATGCTCGCTGACTGTGCAGATGCGGAAGCGGTAGTCGCCCTCAGAGGGCACACAGTCCCCGGGCACCTCCACGGCTCCAGCTTTCTCAATGCTGAAGCACTGGATCCAGTCCTCAGAACCCACCTCCTGCCGCTCCAGCCGGTAGATGAAGGGTGTCTCGGGGGCTGGCTCAGGAGGCTTCCAGGTCAGCAAGACCGTGTTCTTGTGGCCCTTGAACATCTCTGCTAGCACGGGGGGTCCCGGGGGATTATGCTTGACGCCTGAGACAGAGGCAGGGTTTGCATTCGAGCTCTGCTCAGTCCCCACAGCCCTCCTACCTGAACTCCACGGGCCAAAGCAGGCACCACCCTCTGGCTAGCCTCCCACCCAACCCTCCTGTCCAGAGGCCCTCACACCCTCACATTTGACTCTGAGCAGAGTGGTGGTACGGGAGTTGCCCAGGCTAAAGGTGACCTCGCCAGCATCTTCTCGGGTGACCCCAGGCAGGACCAGGGCATGCATGTGGCCCGAGCTGCTCTGGCAGGTGGCCGGCAGCTCTTCCCCATCGCGGCTCCAGTGCCCCTCGACCCCAGCCTCCCGGGTCTCCACCAGCAGCACCGCGTTCTCTCCCTCCAGGACGTCGAGCTTCCGGGGCAGCCGCTTCAAGATGGGCCCTGAGGTGTGGATGCGAATCCATCAGCCCAGTGCTGGGCACTTGCCTGCCTGAGCCTCGGCCTCCTCCCGCCGGTCTGCCGACCTTTGACTGTCACGTTGGCCACGGTGCGCACCCGGCCCCGCATCTCGCACAGGTAGACGCCGTCATCGTCCGCCTTCAGCCTGTGGATGATGAGGCGCCGGACAGTGCCCTCCTCGATCTGCTCATACTTGCGGCAAGGCAGCAGCCGTTGGTCCTCACGGAACCAGGCTGTGGGGATGCGGGAGTTGGGTACTTTACACTCCAGCACAGCAATCCCATGCTCCCGGCCCTCCACGTCCTGCAGGGGTCTGGTGAAGCGGAGGCGTGGTTCTGCAGAGGGGAGAGTGGAGAGAAGGTTCTGGAGAGGGGCCAGACCAGGAGGCCTCCTAAACACTAGCTCCTCCTGCTTGTTCTTCCCAGAGTCAGGAATCATGGCCCCACCAGAAAGGAAATCAGATGTACTAAACTCTGACCCTGAACTCACTTGCCATATCACCTTGAGCAAGCCTAATGTAACGCCCCTGTGCCTCGGTTTCCTTACTTGTAAAACGCGGATTGGGAAGGGAGGAGTTGGGTCAGATCAAATTTGATTTTCAAATTGTGCTTTGGGGCCTCAGAGGGGCCTCACAAATTCCGCAAGCATCTAAGCTGAATTTCATTTTAAAAGTATTTTAACTATTTTCAAAATCGTATTTCAATACAAAGAAAATGTGATGTTAGAAACGGCCAGAGGGTTAACTTGGGTCACTGGTGAAGCATGTTTTTTTGCGTAATTCTGATAAATTCCTTTTGCCTTCCCACTGAGCTTTTCTTTCTTGATACTGTGCAAATTCAGCACCGACCTGGCAAATTTGTACATGTCAAACTGGACCAGTGAGGCCATCACCAAGCCCAGGTGACACACGCTTGACTGTACCCCAGGCAGGCCTTGGGAGAATGTGCCAAACTTTTTTGCCTCCAAAGGAAAAATACTGGGCAGTAACTAGTGAAAGTGTAACCTCTCGAGTTGTGATAAGCTTTAACTGTTATGGAGAGCTTTAACTTCCCCTGGGAGTATGGGTGTTTTTATTTTTTCTCCTAATTTTCTGTGCGTAAGTATTTCCTAGATACTGTCGGTGATTCAACTGTGAGTTACGCATTTTCTCTCCTTCACCCTCCTCTTGTTTCAAACCTGGGGAATGGTCTAATCAGTGAATAGTCAACGTGCAGGACGTTGTTCTTTCCTCCAGTCTACCTTCCTTATGAATGGGTTCTCAACATGGAGTCTGCAGACAGGCCTGCCCCAGGGTTCGGAGATGAGACCTGTTTGGAATGCGGCCTCTGTTTTGAATGTGTGTATTCAACAAATAACCTCCCCATTCTCAACGATTAACTTTGTAAGTATATGTTCCAAATTTAGACTTAGCAATTTCCAGCCATAGAATGTTGCCCTTGTGTGTCTTATCTACAATAGTAGGGCTCCAGATGGGAATTCAGCTGGGAAGGACTGAAATAACAAAGGTTTGGACCAGCAGGTGGCATAGCAGTTACCCTGCTGGACTCCCACATGGCCAACCACTGTTTGAGTCCCGGACCGGTGGCTTGAAACTCACAGTGGGGCAAGTGTGCATGCATGCCCAAGATCCAGGGAGCAGAATAGAGGAGAAGGGATTGCAGTGTGGTCATCCTCCCTGGTGGAGGTGATTTCTCACTTATATATATAATAAAGGTTGAAAACCACAGGAGAGGTGGCATTCTAGGCTCTCAAAGTTTCTGTATTAATCACTCCTCAGTGGTTTTCCACCAATGGTCTCAGAATTACTTGGGGAGTTTGTGAAGGAGTTTCTGGATATCCTGAGACCTACTAAATCCGAATCCCTGGCGGGTGGGAGGCCTCAGAAAATGGCCTTTGAGTATTCTGCGACCCCTCCACCTTTCGCAGACGCTGGACGCCCAGGGGGCGCAGCAGTACCTTTGACGTGCAGCTGCACGGCACTGAGCGTCTGGCCCGCGGAGTTGCGCGCCGCGCAGACGTAGAGCCCGCGGTCCTTGGCCTGGCAGTAGAGCACCTTGAGCACAAAGCCGCCGTCGCGGTCGCGGTACATGAGGCGGCGTGGGGGTCCGGGAGCAGCGGCCGGCCCTCCCAGTGCCATTCGATCTCAGGCTCGGGCTTGCCCATCACGTAGCAGCGGAACTTGGCGTGCTTGCCTTCGTTCACCCAGAAGGTCTTGGGTGAGCACTTGAGCGGGTCCACCACTGGCTGAGGAGCCTCGTCGGGGTCTTCGGGCGGGCTCTCGGGGGGCTGGTGCACCTGGAGCAGAGCGCCGGCCTGCGCGTGGCCGTGCGCGTTGCGGGCGTGGCACACGTAGACGCCCGAGTCGGGCAGCCGTGCCGCCAGGATGCGCAGCGCCAGGCTAGCGCCCTGGCCGCCCTCGGCGCGGCCCGGCTCGAGCGCGAAGTGGCTGCTGTCCCACACTTCGTCCAGGGCCATCCCGTCCTTCTCCCAGTACAGCGTGGGCTCGGGGAGACCCCCCACCTGGCACGTCAGCACCACCTCCGCCCCCCGCAGCACCCACTGGGATCGGCGCCCGGTCAGGCAC